GACTGGTGCTGGTAAAAGGTGGGTGTTGAAATAATCAGGTGTAAATATGAGATTTATTACTTTGTTCTGATCCATTTTGCCTCTGATCCACTTCTCGTAGATTCCATATTTTGTATTTTACACACACACACACACACACACACACAAACAAACAACACTACCATATGGCGTTCTACATTTGTATAAACCCAGAAAAAGAATATAAACACTATCCCATCATCCGATTCTTGTAGCATCAGATTTATTGATTGTATACAAAAAGTATGTTTGATATGACATAATGCATTCTATATAAGATATAGTATTTTGACATTCAATGTACAAAAAAACCTTAATAGACACAGTAAGTCTTTAAAAAATGCGCCCCAGACGTGAAGACCCGAGGCCGTCAGTAGTTTCTTACGCAAGTCGTTGTGTAGGTGTGGAATACTTGCCCACTTCTGTCCCTCTCTCACATTGACAAGCATAGAGCGCAGATGGAGTTCTTTCTGGAAAACAACTGAGGGCAAAAAGGGTGATGGAGGAGAGAGGGTGAGCTTTACATACACAAGTCTCTGTGTGTGTGAGTTTTCAGTATGGGAGTGTTTGCTGACCCAAGAGTGATATATAAGAATGGCATCAAAATGAAAAGCGTATTCATTGTGGCACCGGTGTGATTTCACAAACTATAAAGCGAGATTTGCTGAAGAATAGCATCCTGACCTCGAGGATTGCATTTGTGCTTTGTAAGGTTGGTAATGAGAGTTGTGCGAGCTTCACTTGATTGCATTGTTAGCACAAGAAATATGAGTAACTTTGGAATGGAACAACCAGATGATTTAAATGTATAAACCGCAATGGAACATTTATTATAATATCGAATTCCACCCAAAACACTAAAGAATAATGCAACTCTATATCTACACCGTAGACTATAAGCAACTTATTTGCCACAGGGGCAAAATTAAGATTAAGATCAGAAGGAATTAAGATAGAATAATTGAGTGTATCACCAGACTAAATAAAAAGAATAAAAAATTGAAGATTTCATTGTCCTCACTAATAAGAACCATATCTACAGATTTCACACCATCCAAATACATGGTCTTACTAGAAGCCATTAAAGGTGCACTCAGTAATTATATATATATATATGATATATAAATGTGAATATTTCATATTTAAAACATTTTGGGTAGGTAAAAGACGTTTCTTAAGCTCACCAAGACTGCATTTATTTGATCACAATTACAGTGAAAACAGTAATATTGTGAAATATTATTACAATTTAAAATAACTTTTTTTCTATTTTAATAATGTTAAATGTTAAAATATAATTTATTCCTATGATGGCAAAGCTGAATTTTCGGCAGCCTTTACTCCAATCTTCAGTGTCACTTGATCCTTCAGAAATCATTCTAATATGCTTGATATTTTTGAGGAAATAGTGATTCATTGATAGATAGACAGTTCAAAAGTACAGCGTTTATTTGAAAGTTAAATAATAAAAAAAAATAATTTACTTTCACTTTTGATCAACTGAATGCATCCTTGCTGAATAAAAGTATCAATGCCAAAAGTATATAAAAAAACACTTTTGAACGTTATATAGATAACTGCCCTATTGAATCATTTCACTTGTAAAATAAATTAGTCATGGTAGCATAAATCTGCCGTATCAATCAGTGCAACCAACAAAAATGACTGAGTACACCTTTAAATCGAGAGATATCAAAATACATTTCAGAAGAATGACTACACATTATACATTATCATGCTGTATCAGGCCTGACAGATTACATGCAACAAGGTGCGTGAGGCCTTCAATATGTTGGACTTTGTTCTGCTCACACCGTATAAACCATATGGACTGCATTTTACATTTTGAAAAAATTAAGATAATGTAAATGACATGCGCTCTGCAACATTTTTGTTCTTCAATTTAATACACGCCTTGATACATGAACTCGAGAAAGCAAATAATCTAATTTTACTCCAACAGAAACAGATTTCTATTTCATTTGCCAAGACATTTCAGGATGAGCATAATGTCTTTTTAATAAGGATATTGGCTTGAAATCTAATTCGTGTTGAAGGTTTAGGAATCACTGCATTCTACAACACTGTTCCTCAGCACTTAAAATGCAGGTCACAGCTAGAGCAAAAACTATTGAATATGATCAATGAATAGTTTTGAATATACTCAACTATGTGCATACAGTGGGCATCTTTCAAAAATAAAGGTAACTATGGATGTCAACTTTTAAGGCTATTAATACAGGAAAAATCAAGGAGCTTGAAGCAATATTGCATCAGTTAAGTATTAACCGTTATTTCGCTTGATGACCAATGTAAAAATCAGCGTGGCAAAAGTGATGCACTTATAACTGACAGGTCATGGTACCCAGGAGACAGAGGTGATGAAATACTTAAAAAAAGGAAACAATGTTAGAGACATAGTGACTGCTTGGGTCAGCAGTTAAGACAACACAAATGCACACACAGAAATGAAATGGGTTGGTGAGGCTAAAATGAAAAGCATGAGGAGAAAGACAGATGTGTATTTTAAAAAGGACAGAGAGAGTGGCTGGGCTCTCATTAATGACTTCCTCTGTGCTGGGCTGAAAGAATCACTGACAAAGAACCGTCCACACACGGTGCAGAAAAGCCGATAAGAGAGAAAAAAGAGCTTGAAAACTCCCCTCACATTTACCCCTCATAAAACATCTGAAGGCATCAGCTTGGTGTTTTCAGGCAGTAAAATAAAAGGTGAAGAAGGAATAAGGAACGGTAAAACAACTTTAAGAGGCTTGCAAAGTATTGTAAAGAAAAGCAGTTCAATACAGTTCAGATCTTTTCGGAAGAGGTGAACACAGGGTCCAAAATTAAAGGGATAGTTCACCCAAAAATGAAAATTCTGTCATTAATTACTCACCCTCATGTCGTTCTAAACCCGTAAGACCTTTGTTCATCTTCAGAACACAAATTAAGATATTTTTGATGAAATCCGAGAGCTTTCTGACCCTGCATAGACAGCAATGCAACTGACACGTTCAAGGCCCAGAGAGGTAGTAAGGACATCGTTAAAATAGTCCATGTGACATCAGTGGTTCAACCGTAATTTTATGAAGCTACGAGAATTGCGGCGGACAGTGACAGGGAAGAGAAGAAATTGTTGAATAAGTCTTTATTTTTGTTTTCTTTGTGCACAAAAAGTATTCTCGTAGCTTCATAACATTACGGTTGAACCACTGATGTCACATGGACTATTTTAACGATGTCCTTACTACCTCTCTGGGCCTTGAACGTGTCAGTTGCATTGCTGTCTATGCAGGGTCAGAAAGCTCTCGGATTTCATAAAAAATATCTTAATTTGTGTTCCGAAGATGAAGAACTATCCCTTTAACATTAGCCAAACACCAAATGCAAGTGAAAATCAACATGACAATGACAGATGATGAAAATTATGGAAACTAGACAAATCTTATATTGATCTATGTTTTTGTTTTTATCTATGAAGTTTTTTATCCTACTGAACTCTTGAAAAGTGTGGGGATGGTAAGATTGTTTAATGTTTTGGAAAGAAGTCTTATTTGATCAACAATACAGTAAAAACAGTAATATTGTGAAATATTATTAACTTTTTTTATTTTAAAATATTTGTAATTTATTCCTGTGATATATTTTCAGCAGCCATTACGCCAGTCTTCAGTGTCACATGATGCTTCAGAAATCATTCTAATATACTGATTTGGCGCTCAAGAAACATTTCTCATTGTTACCAATGTTGAAAACACTGTGCTGCTTAATATTTTCATAGAAACTGTCATACATGTGATTCATCTTTGATGAACAAAATTCTAAGGAGCATTTATTTGAAATTTAAACTATGACAATGTAGAAGTCTTTACTGTAAAGTATTCATTGACTAAAAGTATTATTTCTTCAAATATATCTTACTGACCCCACACTTTTGAAGGGTAGTATAAAAATATTCTTCATATTAAGCTATCAAAACAAAAACATAAAGGAACAAAATTATAGGTCTTGTTTTTATTGCGCAGTTAAGGCTGAACTAACTTCTTAGTGAACTGTGCTCTTACAAAAATGCTAAAAAAAAAAGAAGCTAATAATAATAATAATTCCTTTGTCAGAGAGACAAAAATATATTCTTATAAAAAATGGCAATATTGATTCATGGCCTGTAAGAAATAATTACGGTGGTAAATGTTTTCAATTCACTTGAATTGGCAGGTGTGGAAAAATGTTGATTTTGGACCCGGGTGAATATATATATATATATATATGCACCTGTATATATATTGGACATATCAGAGCGTCATTTAAATAACACCTCCATAAATGATCATCAAAAGGGGTGCTAGACTCTAAAACTGAATGATATGGGCATTATTTAATCAAAGCACCCATCGCTAACTTCATCCTTCAAGTTTTTAAAAAAAGCCTTGATATATGACAGATCTAAATATGAATCTTTGAGGCAAATCAAAGTAAACAAAGAAAGAGTGGCTTGTAGCACAGTTAGATTTGAGCAGGTGGCGATAGATACAGAGGTCTGATCATCAGTAACTTCTGCAGAAGCTCCTCTATCTCTCAGCGAAAGTTACAGCTGTTTCTCCAGGCATCTACACGGCAGCCAGAGGATATGCTGCGGTGATCCATTCGTACCATATTGACTGACACAGTCATGTGCTTGTAGGACTAGTCTAGATCCAGTCTAATCACACACATAATTGTCCCCCAGGTTCCCATGAAGACATTCCAATGAGGGTTTCAACCCCAGAAATGCTGAGAAGTGTTTTCATGGTTGATGAAGTTCAGCTTAGTCCCAAAAGACGATACAAAATAAAAGAGCAAGAGAGAGTTAGAGTCCAAAGGAGCCAACCTCAAGCACCGATTTATCAACCTCACATGATCAACCAACATCTGAGATACGAAAGAAGAGACTGAACACTGCAAGCATCGCAGGTACAAAGACACTTCGCTTTTGAAATGTACAGTATGTTCTGACTGATTTACATCAAGTGACCAGGCTGTTCTTCGCAGATAAACGTCACTTTACTAAAACCAGAACTCAACAACCTTCCTGTTACAAGCCTAAAAGCTTGTACTGATCCTCAAGGTCTGAATAAAACAGCCATTGGAGTATGATGATGATATTCCCGTCCCTCCAAACACTGTGCACATCTTGATCTGGATCAGCATATGAATCTACAGTACATCGATGGATCCACATCAAGCTTCCACGTATTCCTGAGAACTAACCTGTTCAGCATATCACTGCATTATCATAGGAAGGTGATCCTGGGCAGAGCTTGTGTGTGTGTGTTTGTGTGCTGAACTTTAAGAAGGTCATGGTATCCTCGGTCAAGACCCGGTAGCTCTCTATCCTTTGAGAGGTCTGGGAGGAGGCTTGCCGATCTCTACGGAAATGTTGGTGTAGAGCGGATATTTCTTCACAGACACCACTCTGTACATCAGTGAGCTGATCCCATCTTTCCTCATGGTGTTCTTGGTGTTCTGGATCTTACTGAACCTGGAAAAAGAAGAAGAAACACAAACAGTATTAGCTGCGTCATGGTTTTCAGAAACATTTAGGATACAAAAGGGCTTAAACTGGACCATTTTTCTATACAATGACAGTACGTCTTCATAAAGGACAAAAAAAAGCAGTGCAAATAAACCATATATGTGGTCTATACATCTCATGCACTATATTCCAACACTCTCAGAACATAAAAAATGTGCAAACATTTAACATTTAAGGGTTCCAAAGTTTTTCAAAGGGACATTTTTTAAACTTTATTAACCCCTAAAAGGTTCATAGTAGTACCTTAAGGGCACATATGACTACTCTAAAACACTAATATGCAACTTTTGGAGGAAGATAAGGTACAAATTTGATTCTTTAAGGGTACTGCCTGGGTCTTTTAATAGCACAAAAATAAAACATTTTTGGTGCTTTTATAGTGCTTTTGTGTCTTTCTGGTACTACATGTTCACTGTATATGTAGTTACTTTAAAAATTCATATTTTGTGTTCCAAGAAAAGAATAACAACATACAGGGTTGGAACAACATGTTTTGGGTGAACTATTCCCTTGGCAAGGTTCAAGTCTCAAGCCAAACGTGTGATGTAAATGTCCAACCACTCAACTGTTAGAACGTGGAGCTAGTACTCACTTGGTTTGACTCCAAACAAATGGTCGTACTGATAAAACACATCTTGTAAGTCACTAACAAATGATAATGACAAACAAATTTAAGTATCATAATATGGATCACTTAAAGGGGTCATATGATGCGATTTCAAGTTTTCCTTTCTCCGCTTACATACCAATGTCAACCAGCAGGGGGTGAAATAACATTTATAAAGGTGCACAGAGCATCATTCTCGCAAAGGAAAAACAAATAGGCCTCACAAAATTTCCTCAGTATAAAAACAGACATGAATTCTATAAACCACATTGACCATATTTAAACACTTATGTTACATAATAAGAGAGTTTTTACACTATATTACAGGTAAAAAAAAGAAATGAGCTTTATGCTGTGGGCACTGAAAAATAAGAGAAAAAGAGATATGAGAGTATCAGACTCCCATGGTTTATCAATAAAATGAGAGGTTCCTTAAGTTCAATGAGCTCAGCTAGAAAAGCAAAGTATAGGAATATTCAGGAGCTCTGCTTCCCCAGCAGTGTTTTATATTGCATCTTAACCTCCCATCCCTTAAGACACTTAAAATGATATACATTTCAACATTTCAGGCTTAACCAAAGAAGAACTGTACTAATAAATAGAACATTTACTCTGAAAAATGCCACAAAAGTAGGAAAGAGAGTTCAAGTTGTCCGTTAAAGGGTAGCTTGATTTATGTGAAGCTATCAACTTCCATATCAATGTAGGTGCCACGAAGGCCATTAAAGAGTCGGCAGATAATGATTTAAGTACACTGCTTGAATGAAATTAGAGTATTTGAGAGGGCTCACACTGAACTATAATTAATATTCATGTGGACCGGTGTGCAGCAGCACTAAGGAAGGTTGATGAATAGAAGCCTGGTTCCTCCGGCAAGCATAACATCTCATTATGGAAGCTGATGCTCTTCTGCGGAGTGACCAAACAAAGATGACTGTGGTAGTAACAGAGCTGAGGAGAGGGCAACCATTCATCAAGTCTAACAACTCTTCTTTTTAAATAAGGGTGCGCTTGGAGAACGCAGCCACTTACTCTTCTTAGTCATACTGCATCTCCATGCAGCATGTCTTAAAAAACAAATGAACTAAACCTGTGTGACAGGAAAATAAAACAAAACAAAACTTAAAGAGCCGGGAACTTGAAGTTACCACAACCTAAATGGCGCAGGAAGTATCATCTGCCCTTTACAAAAACATACATTATCGTTCAAAAGTTAGTAAATTAGATTAGGGTTAGAAAGATTTTTTTTTTTAAGAAATTAATTATTTTATTCAGCAAGGATGTATTAAATTGATCAAAAGTAAAAAAGATTAATAATATTACAAAAGATTTTTATTTAAAACAAATGTTGTTCTTTTGAGCTTTTTATTAAACAAAGAATTCTGAGAAATTCTATCAGTTTCCACAATAATATTAAGCATTACTGTTTTAAACATTGATAATAATAAGAAATATTTCTTGAGCACCAAATCAGCATATTAGAATGATTTTATTTTTATATTTGATCAAATATAATGTGGACTTCAAGAACATAAAAAAAAATCTTAAGTTTTTTCCTGAAAGAAGCAATGAGTGTAACTGACACAAGTGGATGGATATAAGACATTAAATGTCTTGCACCTCTTTGCCAGGTTTTGCACTGACATAAATAAAATTCTGGCCAATATAATTATAGTTTATGTTATGGACAAAAAAAAAAAAACAGTTAATGGCTGATATTAAAATTCTATACTACTTTTTCTAAATAATAATAAAAACATTACAATCAATGAAACCAATATGTTTTTAAATAACATTTTAAAGTGAATTTAGGCATCACAGCATAATCTCCAATATTTTTAATTAATTTGGAGATTTGCTAAAGTTTACATTTAGCTGCTAAATTAACTAGAAACGTGAAAAAGTGAGACTTTGAGTGGCAACAGAGTCAATTAAAAGCCACACAAAGCTCTTGAGAATAAATGTATAACTACTATATGCAAACTACAGTACACTACTACACTGTCCTCCCTTCAGTTCTAAACAAATTACTAAGGAAATGGGGCCAAAATCTATACATTATCACAGAAAGTATGAGAAACACAAAATAGATCATGTTTGAAAGTGCTGTAAAAATAAATTCCAGTAATCCACAGCATTCCCCAAATCAGCTTTCTTCATCAAATTTCCAGCTCAGTTTTAAGAGGCAGTTATGTTTGAGGCTAAACCTCTTATCACGTACAAACGAGCCATTTTAGAATAATCCCCACAAGCCTCTAACGGAGGCAATAAAATCTAGAGAGGAAGGGATCATACTCTAAATGACTTCCCATTTTTCTGTTATGGTGCTAATCAATTATTAATCAGATGCCCAGATGAGTTGTGACTCTGCCACCTACACTGGTGCGTGTCTGGGTGGGTTATATCAGCCCTGGCCGAGTCAGGGAGTGTTTCAGAGGAAGCCGTCGAGATTCATCAATCTCTGACCGCACTTCCTGATATATTGATTGTCATCGAGCCGCAGTGCCCATGTCTGCATCAGTCTGTGGATGTTCATCATCATACAGATTGGGTCACTTGGTTAGCATACTTACAGTAAATGGTGCACTAAAGTAAAGCTTTTTCTGACTTGCATACATACAGGTGCATCTCAATAAATTAGAATGTCGTGGAAAAGTTCATTTATTTCAGTAATTCAACTCAAATTGTGATTAAGTATATAACCTTAGGAGCCCTGTGGTAATTGAAGAGCATTCAAAAAATGTTTCAGCAAACGATAAAGTGCACATTTTCCGGTTTGATGCTTGTACCAAAGGTGGATCACAGCGATCGACTCTGCTTCATTTTTCCCGTTTGAGACAGAACACAAACAAACGACCTGTCTGTGACAACAGACCCGCTTTAGCTTAACATGCTTCAATTCATTAACTTCAGCACAGACACCTCATTCATTTCTACCCAGCGTTCTTCTGTCCTCTCCAGCAAAAATGAGTTCAGCATGCTCTAGTGGCTCTCAGGGTGGGCCGCGCTCATTACTTCAATTGTCTGAGCCAATTGTAGGAAAAAAGACACAAAGAACAAGGAAGAGCAGGACATAAATAGAGAGACAGTAAGTGAGTGAATGAGAAAGAGATCAAGGGAAAAAGAATAAGAATGAAACTGAGCAAAAGAGAATAAATCACTGACTCTTATCTTTGCACAGTGAGAGCTGAGTGAAACCTCCTACCAGAGAAAAGACCAATCCTAACTTTTAATGGCATTTCTTTTGCTTCTGTCTTGCCATTTAGCTCAGAGCTCTCCCAAGATTGACAACCACCAAGAAACAGTGGACCAACCTGCAACTGCAGGAATCGTTTTGCAATTAGTTGCTCTGCTGTGAAGCTTTCTACCTGGGAACGATCTGGCTCGCAGCCCAGCGTCCACGGATGGGCTTATCGACTCATTGATTGGGCTATTTTACACCCCGTGATGTCTGAGCTATTCATGCATTAAGAACCTCCGCCAGCTGGCATAAACACACACAATCATATTTAGGAGGCTGAATAGGTCTTAAAGATGAAACTATCTTGCAGCCCCAGGTAATTGAGTGACAAAAGCTGGACAAAGTTTGCAATGCAACAAACTAGCAAGGGTGACTAACTGGGTGGATTACTACACTGTTACATGGTAATAGTTTATTTTTCGTTTGACGAAAATGTATCTAAAATTTAATCAATATTTCATGTCATGCGTCATATTTTACTAAACAAAATGGCAATATATATATATATATCCTTTTAACTGACAATGTGTAAAAATATAGAAGTTCAATTTATATTAGTATAAGTTAAAACTTTAAAATATGCGTAAACATTTAGACATATCTAACATAATGATAATAATAATAATACTAAACTGAGAAAACTTGAAAAAATATACATATAAAATATCAAACATGTAAGATATATAATTAACAAAATATGAACCAAATAAAGTGATGCAATTCACTGGCTTTAAATTCAAGCATATCATTTTCGTCAATAGAATGTTTTAAATTAAAATATTTAATTGTCAACATGTCTTTTTTGTTATTATTGATGAAAAAAATAAAAATTAACAAACATTTTCATCAGTGATTTTGCTATTGCGATTAACAACAATGTCCTGTCAAAAAAAAAAAACATTACTTTTAATAAGATTTAATTAAAATATATATCTCCCTTTAACTGTGATGTATGAACATGAACCTGACCGTTAACCTATGTTAAGAGTGTTGAATGAAGAAGCAAAATATTTAGCACAGAAATAATTCAAATGGCAATTCAGTGCTGAAACTAGATTAGGTCCAGGCTGGTTAGTGCTGGGTTTGTGCTAATCTAGCTAGTAGAACAGACAAGACGATGCTGTTCATCATCAAAACTGGCTGATTGTACAGCATGGTCTTTCTTGTGAAGCTGGTCAAACAAGACAGCCAAGAAGACCGGTTAGCAAATAAAACATACGCGGGTGAAGCCCATGCTTGTGTTTGGAGCAGCGACATTGTCTTATATACAGTATCTTATATATCTGCAATGCAAAGGGCTCTGCTGTGCTTTAGATCAATAAGTCACAAGAATAGGATAAGTGGTGTGATTTAACACATCTTAACAGAGCTTGTGAATCTTAAGCATTCAGGCACCGGCGGGGCGGGTGCTTTCACACTACACAGAGATGAGGTGGCAGGACAATAGGGTCTTACCTCTGGGGGTTTGGCTCATTGTGCTTGTCTCTCTCATGCTTGATCATCCTGTAGCGGCCGATTCTCACATCGGGCCGAGACACTTTCATCCCATTTAGTGTGATTCTGACAGAAAGGGGGAGAACAATAGAGAAAACTTATGGTTAGGGTGTATGAGGTTTCATATCGACTGACTGATTGGCTTCACGCAGTCACAACATCGTCTAATGATTGTCATAGCTATGGTTTGGAGGAGAGAGGGCATCACCCAGCTCAAATTCTCAAAAACTCTTTCTGTTTGTTTCATTTTTATGTCCACATTGCCACACTTTTAGAGTATGTATCGAATCTGATGATGATCTTACAGCACTACATCTGCCAAGCACAACGGTGGAAACAATCTATCCAACCCCATATTAAATAACATCAGTGCACAAAATGGGTAATGTAATGTATAAAATAATATAATATAATAAACAACAACAACTATAATTATTATTATTCCTATGGGCTTTTTAATATTAATTGAGAATCGCTAATAATAATAATAATAATAGTTGTTATTAACATTGTTGTTTTTGTTATTGTGAACTTTTTAATAATTAAGAACTGTTGTTAAAATGAAATATATAAAATTAAATAATTATTATGGTTGTCATTGTAGTGGACTTTTAAATAATAATACAACTAATAATAATAAAACAATGTATTATTATTATTATTATTATTATTATGTCTTCTAAGACATCTGTGTACTGTTTTGCACATCTTACTCATTTGACGTACTGTTCTTTGCTTTTTTTTTTTTTTACATGTACATACATGTATGCATATTCAGACGCATCTTTTGTGTGCACTCAAAAGATCATTTATTTCCTATTTGGTACTGAAGTAGACAGTAGTTTGTAGTTTGACATTACTATCAGTGACTTGAGGCTTTCACAAATTAACAAACAGTGAACTTCAAGCAGCTACAGCTAATCAAATACTCGTTAACCTACACGAATACCAGAAAATGTTCAATGAGCAGGAAACAAGGCAGAATGAAAAAACAAAACAAAGCAAAAGTCAGTAGCTGAGAACTGTCGGGAACGTTTGCTTAAGAGAGCAGCCAGACCAGGCAGCTCCACACACACCCAGCCTGGAGTACAATCCCATTTGTTTGAGTAACTACAGCTTAGAGCGACTCAGGGTTGCTTGAACAATCCAACCATTCTGATCTCCCTGCTTGGCTCAAGATCTTGGCATTAGTGCAAATCTTATGTTTGTCATGTGAGCATCGTGTCATTTGAGCTCTGAGCTTCGCACTGACTTTCTGAGGGATGACGCCTTTATTTGATTAGATGGAAATCCTTCCGAGGAGAATAAGGGCATGCCTATTTATGCGTGTTTGTGTGGGCTCTTATGATTTATTCCATTTTTTATATACACCATCCTAATAATCCAAGAGCAAGGCCTTTGTCATAAATAATAGAGCTTGGAGGATTGAAGGTAATCTCTGGGAATTCTTGACCCAGAAAGCAAAAGGAGATTTCTGAGGGCCCGAGATTATAATGAGAGAAAATACAATGTAAACAATGAAGGAGAACGCACTACAGAGGGGATTTATAAATGTCACTGAACACCAAACTAAATGCATGACAGTGACCACATTTACATATACATTTATTTAGTGATTTTTAACCAGTTCATTCTAAATATTAAATCAACTGTAAACAAGATGGCGCATTAAGGATGATAGAAAGTACCTCACCTTACCTTCCCCCTAAAGTTGTAAATAAAAGATTACTGG